CGGCTGCATTTCTAGACTTTTTCCTTCTGTCGAACACGATACGCACTTTCCATACAACGGGTAAAAGGTAAATTGAACAAATTACCACGGAAGACGGAAAATCGCATAATTTGTAACCGTGCGAGGGCTAAGTGTTGACGGCGTCTTTATTTTCCTTTCTTTTTTTGGTCCGCTACCCCGACTGCAGATGTGTTGATGTAGCCTCTCACAGATGGGCTGCTGTTTTTAACAAGCAAGTGTTAATAAAGTGAATCTCAATCATAAAACTCAACAAAACTCCCTTCTTCCAGTTCAGCACTGGCCTGTCACTGCTTCTGACCAGGGTTATTTCTTTTTTTTTATATAATATCAGATATTTTATCTTTTTCTATGACCTCTAGCTGTCCGATTTCTGTCATTAAACGGGTGTAAAGCTAACGTACGTCCAGTTGTGTTGGCAAACCGCACTAATAAATAAACAGCTGGTCTGAATTGCACTTGCAGATGTTTGGCTGCTCTCAAACCATTAAAGCACTAATTACTACTTTTTGGAAAGGATGTTAAACACTTGTTGGACTTTGCCCCTTGTTTGTGAAGTAGCTGTAAACGCAAAGCAAAGAGTGTGTTGACCCGAGTCAGCGCTGTAATATTGACCGCGCGGCTCAAACGCCCTCGGGCCAGGGGCGAGAGCTGGGGGGGGGGGTGTTCATTGTGCGAGGCAGAGCATCAAAGACGAGCCGCGTCTGAGCCGCGCATGGGCAGGAATTTGTCAGACTCCCGCGGGCCGAGCGCTGGCTCTTTTGTTGTGGGATCCGCACTCACACACATGGTAATTAGACTCAAGCTTGCGGGGGAGGCTGTAAGACCAAGGGAAAGTAAGCGCACAAGAGATTAAGAAACGCATGTTGGCAGAAAATTGCTTTGGGAAGAGTTTTGGCATGTTTAAAAGGACGTTTCGTGGGCGTGCCGCCCAGCGAGGTCGTCTCAGACGCGACTGTAGCCGAGACCAGTTTTACAGGTTCAGAAACTGCGGCGGGGGGTGTGACATCAGACGGCCAGAGCCGGGTTCGAACGGGTTAAATGTGTTCAGACCTCACACTTTTAACCCTTTGTGGACGTTTTGTCTTTTTCAGTGTCACCTGTTAATGTCGGCTGCATACATTTAGGTGTGTATTTTCATTGGAATTAATTAACCTATTTTACACTTGTAACGTACAATAATTCCTCTCAGGACAAAAATCTCCCCATTGAAACTGCAATTTTTAATCCCTGAGCTGTTTAACTAAAAAATTATGCAATTTTAGTTAATAGGCTCTAAAGCTGTTGGCAAGTCTTCAAAATTAATTTTGTTTTGTTTTTTCCCCAGATGTAGCCATTTTATCCAGTTTTATCAAGTTTAGCCTGTAAAGCAAAAACTCGCTTTATTACTGTTTTCTGCTTATGAATATTATAGAGCCAAATGGATAGTGTGTGTGTTGATGTCAGAGGGGTGTTTGAGGGGGTGAGGGGAAAAAAAATCGATTCATATTCCATCGATTCTCTAAAGCATTACACTTCTTTAACTTTGCAGTACTACTTAAAGTTTCTTAAAGGGGTGGTATAATGCCTTTTTCACAAGATGTAAAATAAGTCTCTGATGTGTCCGTCCCTTTAAATGCAAATGAGCCGCTGCTCTCGGCACAGGGGGCGGAGCTACAACGGCTTGTGTGCGGAAGTTCGAAATCGTTTATCCTTTTATGCTCAAACCGGAGTCAAACAAAGATGGAGAGACTCTTTATGAATGGTTAGTTGATGAATTTGTTGCTGATTCCGTGATCGCAGAAATTATACGGCACTACATAAGAAAAACACATATCGAAATTTGATTCAAAATCGAGAATTGTTTTTAAATTGAATCGTGGCCTCGAGAATCGCTTCGAATCGTGAGGTAAGGTTACCACCACTACTTGGTACCATCCATTCTTAAGTATTGAAAAACACAATTTGACATGTAATTCAAGTCATATAATATTGATTTACAAAGATCTGGAGGATAAAGTTATATAAATTAAGTTCAAGATTGTACAACCGATACAGCACACGGTGTGTGTCAGTGTTACGAGCATGATTCATTCCCAACCGTCTGCTTGTGTTTAAGTGAATTGTTGTGAAACAAGTTTTTAATTATCATTAATGTACGTAGAACAGCGGCATTCTTTGTCCATGTGACATATGACCTTTTTGCACATCATCTTTTCAAAACTAGATGTTGTTCTGCCTAATATGAGATGTGATTTTAAAGGGAGTGCAGTATTTATGAACATCAGTCTCTCTCGGGCTAACTCTCCTCATGCAGTCGCGTATGCCTTGCTCTGGTTTGTCCATTGACATGGTGTTCACCAATTTTGTGCTGACAATTAATTGTCATGTTCATACAATGTGCTTAAAATGCTTGAATTTGGCGTTTTGAAATTTAAGAATACTGCCATATTTATGTAAAGGTACTTGTATTATTAAGGCTATGTTTACACGGAAACGATTCTGAAGAGAAAACGCAAAAGTGGCGTTGCGTCATCTTTTTTTACTCTGCATTTAGTAGGGTTGGGTATCGTTTGAATTTGAACGATTCTGATTCCGATTCCTTGTTTCGATTCCGGTTCCTAACGATTCTCGATTCCGATTCTTTTAAGAGGCAGGGTCAAAAAAGTTTAGCTAACCTTGCTAACCAACGGCCTTTCTGAAGGAAATACTCCTTCTGTAAAAATACTCCTTTTGTCACAAATTTTGCATTTTTGCCGAGATTTCGTTATTTTTAGAAAAGTGAAGCCACACTTTGGATCGCCAACGTAAGGTACTCATTAGGGGTGGGGAAAAAAATCGATTCTCGATGTATCGCGATGCGGACGTGGACGATCCTGAATCGATTCACAAATGTCAAAAAATCGATTTCAAAAAATTTTTTTTTGATATGTATTTATAATAATGTAATATTGACGGAACGCGAAAGACGGAACTCTGAAGCGCGGAAGTGCAGTGGCGGGACCGTCTGTGGCGTGCACATAACAGAGATGAGATGGCACGCGAGATCCAAACACTTTCCTTGTTAGGTTAAAAGCTGACGTGTGGAAATATTTTGGCTTCTGAAGTTGAAGGGGGAAAGGAGCTGGACAAGAGCCGCACTAGTTGTACGCTTTGTGGAATAAAACCAACGACGGAAACACGACAAATATGATAAGCCATATGACACCTTTCCAGCCAGAGGAGGAAAAACACTCGACTGCACCAGTCGTTATATTATTTATTTACTACAGTATGCTCCTAGTTCAAGCACACATTTATTTTCCTGGTCGTTCTTTGTAATGTTAATAAAATATATTGTGCATTAATTCTTTATGCGTCATTAATTTGTACTTTTAAAGCAAATTATTTATAGTCACACACAAAAGATTCAGATAATCGATTTGTAACATTATAAATGTCTTGTACTTTAACTTTTGATCAACTTAATTTACCCTTGATGAATAAAAGTATAGATTTCTTTTTTCTTTTGCCCAAAAAATTTAATAAAAATTCTTACCGACTCCAAACATTTGAACGGTATTGTTTAATGTTACAAAAGCTTTCTATTTCAGATAAATGCCGTTCTTTTGAATTTCTGGGTGATTCTCTGAATCGGGTGCCCTTCAAGTCCCCCAAACTTGCTTCAAATATTTTCAATTGAAGGAAATCACAAAATACATTTTAATGCTGTCAATTAATAGAACCAGGTGCATTTGCATTATAATGCAACACAATTGCTTTTGAAAAAAAATTTAAAGTTAATAAATGCAAAGATAATGAGTTGCCTAAGTAGTAGATAACAAGCATGTTTGCATGTCCCCACTAACCTAAAAAGTGCAATTAATACCAAAATGTTGCTGCTGCTAATATAATCATATGTTGGTCTAGTGTATTTTCGTTTACTGTTGTGAAATGGAAAATCAATAATCGGTAATCGAGAATCGTTAATAATCGAAAATCTACTGTAATCGAATCGGGACTTCAATAATCGTAATCGAATCGGGAAATCAGACAGATTAACCACCCCTAGTACTCATGTTCGACTCGCGGTTATGCCAACACTTCCGGTAGACGCTTCTTCGTTGGTGTTGTTCAGCGGTTTCTTCTTCCGCTCGGCGGACTGTGAATATCGAAACTAGGAATCGAAATTTTAACTTTTGAACGATTCCGGGAAAAACGAAAAGTTAGTCTCCGTTTCAATCGATACTCGATTCTCGATACCCAACCCTAGCGTTTAGACGAGCGTTTTGTGTGGGAAATTCGCGTGCAAATGGAGACGCAAAAGTGTGTGAAACTTAATGTAGTATTTACTTCAGGCGGCTGGGAGGCTTCACCGTCAAGCAGACTTTAGCGTTTTTACCGTTTACACGGGAACGCGGCGATGGAGCGTTTTTAAGATTTCCACTCTGGAGGGTGGTTTCACTTTTTTGCGTTTTTGAGCCTCAAAAACGCCGTCGGCGTGTAAACGAAAGGCACATCCGATAAAATATTTTTACGTTTTCACCCGCAAGCGTTCTCGTGTAAACAGGGCCTAAATTGACAATATGAAATTAGTGTTTAATTTTATCGATAAAACAATCTTTTCACACAAAATCAATGCTGCATCTCGTCTCCAATGGATATTTATATGAACAATATCACCCTCATAGCATGCAAAATGCCTATATCCTTTCATTCTTCAGGTCAATGTATTCATGGGAGGAAAAAATCAGTTTTTGAATAAGAATAATGATATCTTTGTCATAGTACCCTTTGAATGTTTAAAGCTATCAGTCATTGCTTGTTGCACTTTATTTGTACCATTTGATATTGTTTGAGTGATCTCTGATTGTAGTCCTTACCCAAAAAGTTGTCCTTGAACTAAATTTTACAGTGTCTGAATGAACCCTTAATTTCGATTGTTATTATTTTTAACGTTAAGTCATATATGATTGATATTGCATGAAATCTAATCCGTGATTTGTTTTGTCTTCTGTGTGCAGTTGCAGGAGACGGTGAAGAGGAAGTTAGAGAGCGCTGGTTCGCCTCTCGCCCGTGAAGCGGTCAACGGCTTCAGCGATGGCTACCCGCCCAAGAAGAAGAGCTGTGTCGAGGACGCACTCGAAGCTCGTAACGGGGTCTCGAACGGCACAGTGCCTCCTCTCTCGCCAATGGACACTAAACATAATGTGATGGCCAACGGGAACCACAGAGCAGAGCACAACGAAGCCGGCATCACCGATAGCGGTGCGTCTCGCGGCTCGGACTCGGATTTCCGCATGCGAAAAGAGATGAAGCAGGAGCCCGTGGACGACATATTACCCTGCATTCTCCCCTCAGGGGGGACAACCGGGAACAACAGCCTTTTCCCCGACCTCAACCTGGACGACCAGGACTGGAGTGAGATCATGGAGGAGTTTAATCGCTCCGTACCCTACGAGGACATACAAGAGCTCTTCAGCGTCAGTTTCGGTGACCGCAAAGACCCGGAGCTCACGTCCGCTGCGACTCCGAGCTTGATCCCACCGGATCTAGCCAACGTGAAGACTGAGTTCTCCCCCGCGTTCGACCAGGAGTCCTGCAACGGTTCCCCTCAGGTGAGACCCACCTCATCCGGACCTCCGCTTCACACCAGCTCTCCTGTGTCGGCTCCGGCCACATCGCCTGTGCAACAGCCCAGCAGGCAAATCCCAAACCACATGCTCCCCGCCCCGCCTAAAGACCTGTCCCTTGCGCAGCAGCTCCAACAGTTAGCGGCGGCACGCGAGCAGCAGAGAGCCATATTACAGAGCCAGCAACACGTGGTTCAGAAGCCTCCGCCGCCAACGCAACAAAAACCACAGTCGCAAACGCCGAAATTCCACCCGCAACCAAACCACTCGACGTCATGGCCCCAGAATCCCCCCAACCAAAGTCAGATGACTGGGACGTTTGGGCTCGAGAAGCCGACGAGTCCTTCTCTGTACCCGCAAGACTTCCCCAACCCCAAGGCCATGCTCATGCCGAACAAGGGCTCTCCTAAAGCGGGCGCTCCGGCCGGGTACATGCAGCCCATGCTCAGCCACGCGTCCAACCCCGCGGCCATGTTGGACTACAGCAACACTAAACCCCTGTCCCATTACGAGGCGGTGGCGTCCGGAGCTCCCCGGGGTCCTGCGACCGCACAGAGCCAGAGCAAGCAGAGCCAGGCCATCCTGAACCTGATGCGGCACCAGCAGATGCAGAAGCCGAGGCCGGCCGGCATGAGCTTCAGGCCGGCACACCTGCAGCAGCAGCACGCTCCGGTGAGACCCCTTCAACACCTCCACCTAGCTTAGCTCACACGAACATGACATTCGGCCCTTGTGGCGTTCCAAACCCAAACGCGCTAACGGTAAGACCTCGGATGTGTAGCATCTAACCCTTGTGCATCAATTAAAAAAAGTTACACATATGTAAAAAGAGGACGAAAAATGTCCATGTCAAAAAACTGACGCTTTGGAGCACAGACTTAAGTTTGGTATCATTTTAAAGAAGACCCTTTGCAGATTATTGCTGAAGTAAAATAATAATAAGTAAATCTAAAAAAAAAGTTATATAGGTATAAGGTTATGAAAATTATTTATAAAAAAATATTTCATATAAAATATATATTTTTAAATCAGGTTGAACTCAAAACTGCAATAAAATCAAAGCCATATCTAAATAGGTTGTGTTCCAAATTTGAGGATGCTATCTCAAAAAATGAGCTTTCGGTAACAGTTTGTTTGGGCGTAGTGACATATTTTCCCCATTGGGTCCCAGCAAAACTCCACTGGAGCTCACAGTGATTGGATTTGAATTTGCAGTTTTTCTCTCTCAGTATTACAAACACACACACACACATACTAACCACACTCTGACATCCATACCAACACACCCACACAAATATTGTTGCATAATTTATCCAGTTGGCTCTATAATATGCCGAAGCAGAAAACAGGAATAAAGCGATATTTGTTTTATAGGCCAAACTTAAAAAAAATTACACCATCTGATAAAAAAATTGTAAAAAATAAAATTTTGAAGCCTTGCCATCAGAATGAAAGCCTCTTAACAAAGATTGCATAATTTCATAGTTAACTGAACCGGGGATTAAAAATGGCAGTTTTAATGGGTTTCAATGGGGACATTTTTGTCCAAAATGGTGCTGAGAGGGAGTATTTTTTGTACCTAATGCAAAAAATATATTTTTAAGAAAATGACGGTGAAATAGTAAAATTCCAATAAAAATACACACCTGTGCCAATTTTTTTGCAGTTAGCTTTAACACAGGAAAAGTGATCAAAAAAACAAAACTGAAAAGGACAAGAATGTTCATAAGGATGCACAAGGGTTAAAGAGATCGTTCACACAAACATGAAATTCTTCCGTTTACCTTCTTCCTCGTGTCGTTCCAAACCCAAACGTACTTTAAAGCAGTAGTTCACTTCAGATTAAAGATTTCCTGACGATTTACTCGCCCACACGTTATCCAAGATGTTCGTGTGTTTTTGAGGAACACACTCCAGGATGTTTCTCCATATAGTGTCTTCAATGGGGTCCAACGGGTCGAAGGTCAGCTGTGAGTTTCAGCTTCAAAGTCTCGACACGATCCAGCCGAGGAATAAGAGACTGATCGAGACAAACCAGCGACATTTACAACAAAACACACATTTATATACTTTATAACCACTAATGCTGGTCTGCACTCGCTGTGATGCGACACACGTTACAGTAATCAGGGTGAAAGGTCAAGCGTGTTCCGGTTTATACATGAAGGAAAGGGCGAAAAAAAAAAGTCTTTTGGCGTCAGTCTTTGCACGTTTCCTTTGTAAACACTGGGTCTGTTCTTACACCTACGTCCCACTTGACCTTTCACCCTGATTACTGTAATGTGTGTCGCAGACCAGCATTAGTGGTAAGGCATGGCACATAACCGTAACTTAAGGGGGCGGGGCTTTGAGAATGGTCAATTTAGACAAGTCATCATGAAGTATACTTTTAATACATATATTATTTTAAACATAACTCTAAACCACCAGTAGGAGGCGGCGGGCTACCGTCTTAATGAGTGACATTGTGTGTGAATGGGTCATTGAATCTTTGACTCAACAGAATCTTTGACTCAAACACTGAATCACTCAGTAATGAAACGCGCTCTGGTTCTACTGTGATCTTTTTGTTCTATTTCAGCACCGAATATAGTTCCAAAATCAGTCAATATTGTGGCTAAAATGTCATGTAAAATTAAAGGAGTAGTTCATTTTTTAAAAAACTTTTGCTGATAATTTACTCACCCCCATGTCATCCAAGATGTCCATGTCTTTCTTTCTTCAGTCGAAAAGAAATTAAGGTTTTTGATGAAAACATTCCAGGATTTTCTCCATATAATGGACTTCAATGGGGTCCAAACGGTTCAAGGTCCAAAAGTTTCAGTGCAAACTGTTCAAAGGGCTTTAAACGATTCCAGGCGATGAATAAGGGTCTTATCAAGCGAAACGATCGCTCGTTTTATAAATAAATAACAAAGTTTACGTTTTTTTTCGAAAAGATTTGTTCATTTTGATGAACGAGTTCGAACAGGAGAGTCACGAACGCGCGTCACAGAACAGAGCAAGGCGAGCATTTGAGCTTATAAAACTTAAACTTTGTTATTTATTTATTAAATGAGCGATCGTTTCGCTTGATAAGACCCTTATTCATCGGCTGGAATCGTTTAAAGCCCTTTGAACGGTTTGCACTGAAACTGTCTTTTGGACCTTGAACCGTTTGGTTCCCATTGAAGTCCATTATAAAATCCTGGAATGTTTTCATCAAAAACCTTAATTTCTTTTCGACTGAAGAAAGAAAGACATGGACATCTTGGATGACATGGGGGCGTGTAAATTATCAGCAAAAGCTTTTTAAAAGTGAACTACTCCTTTAATATTAATTACTTGTTTATTAATTACTTGTTTATTTATTGAATTGTCATATGAAATCAGTGTCATTTTTCAATCGTGATGGTGTGATGTTGCTGCATCATATGTTCATCACATGTTATTAATATAAAACTCCACTCTTATAATGTTTACCGCAGTATGTGGAGCCCTGGATGTGTTTCTATGGGGACTTTAACGTTCACTAGTCCTAAAGAAACGAAATCTTAGCCATTTTCACTCTCCTTAGCATAACGACATAATAGAATAGAAATGTATAGAGGGTATATTGTCCAGCTCGTGTTTGTGTGTGTGTGTGTGTGTGTGTGTGTGTCTGGTTCTCATGCGCCCCGGGCTTGATCAGTGTGTCTGGGTCAGGCAGCTGGTTGCTAAGGAGCAGAGAGCAGACAGCCACACACACACACACACACACACACACACACACACACACACACACTGTGGTGGGGGCTGAGACGAGTCAACGGAGAAAAGGACAGAGAGAGAGAGAGGACGACACAAAGCCGTCTTTCATGCGTTTCACATCAGCCCCTCCTTCAGCGCTTGGGTTTAAATATAGACCATTAACCCCGTTTGCCTTTACTCACTCTACACACACCAACTCTACACACACCAACTCTTACTCTACACACTCCAGCTCTACTCTACACACACCAGCTCTACTCTACACCAACTCTACTCTACACACACCAACTCTACTCTACACACACCCACTCTACTCTACACACACCAGCTCTACTCTACACACACCAACTCTACTCTACACACACCAACTCACTCTACACACACCAGCTCTACTCTACACACACCAACTCTACTCTACACACACCAGCTCTACTCTACACACACCAACTCTTACTCTACACACACCAACTCTTACTCTACACACACCAACTCTACTCTACACACACCAGCTCTACTCTACACACACCAACTCTTACTCTACACACACCAGCTCTACTCTACACACACCAACTCTTACTCTACACCCACTCTACTCTACACACACCAACTCTACTCTACACACACCAGCTCTACTCTACACACACCAACTCTTACTCTACACACACCAGCTCTACTCTACACACACCAACTCTTACTCTACACCAACTCTACTCTACACACACCAGCTCTACTCTACACACACCAGCTCTACTCTACACACACCAACTCTACTCTACACACACCAGCTCTACTCTACACACACCAGCTCTACTCTACACACACCAGCTCTACTCTACACACACCAACTCTACTCTACACACACCAACTCTACTCTACACACACCAGCTCTACTCTACACACACCAACTCTACTCTACACACACCAGCTCTACTCTACACACACCAACTCTACTCTACACACACCAGCTCTACTCTACACACACCAGCTCTACTCTACACACACACACACCCACTCTACTCTACACACACACCAGCTCTACTCTACACACACCAACTCTACTCTACACACACCAAATCTACTCTACACACACCAACTCTTACTCTACACACACCAACTCTACTCTACACCAACTCTACTCTACACACACCAACTCTACTCTACACACACCAGCTCTACTCTACACACACCAACTCTACTCTACACACACCAGCTCTACTCTACACACACCAACTCTACTCTACACACACCAACTCTACTCTACACACACCAGCTCTACTCTACACACACCAACTCTTACTCTACACACACCAACTCTACTCTACACACACCAACTCTACTCTACACACACCAGCTCTACTCTACACACACCAACTCTTACTCTACACACACCAGCTCTACTCTACACACACCAACTCTTACTCTACACCAACTCTACTCTACACACACCAGCTCTACTCTACACACACCAGCTCTACTCTACACACACCAACTCTACTCTACACACACCAACTCTACTCTACACACACCAGCTCTACTCTACACACACCAACTCTTACTCTACACACACCAACTCTACTCTACACACACCAACTCTACTCTACACACACCAGCTCTACTCTACACACACCAACTCTTACTCTACACACACCAACTCTACTCTACACACACCAACTCTACTCTACACACACCAACTCTACTCTACACACACCAACTCTACTCTACACACACCAGCTCTACTCTACACACACACACACCCACTCTACTCTACACACACACCAGCTCTACTCTACACACACCAGCTCTACTCTACACACACCAACTCTACTCTACACACACCAAATCTACTCTACACACACCAACTCTTACTCTACACACACCAACTCTACTCTACACACACCAGCTCTACTCTACACACACCAACTCTTACTCTACACCAACTCTACTCTACACACACCAACTCTACTCTACACACACCAACTCTTACTCTACACACACCAACTCTACTCTACACACACCAGCTCTACTCTACACACACCAACTCTTACTCTACACCAACTCTACTCTACACACACCAACTCTACTCTACACACACCAACTCTACTCTACACACTCCAGCTCTACTCTACACACACCAGCTCTACTCTACACACACCAGCTCTACTCTACACACACCAACTCTTACTCTACACACACCAGCTCTACTCTACACACACCAACTCTACTCTACACACACCAACTCTTACTCTACACCAACTCTACTCTACACACACCAACTCTTACTCTACACCAACTCTACTCTACACACACCAACTCTTACTCTACACCAACTCTACTCTACACACACCAACTCTACTCTACACACACCAACTCTTACTCTACACCAACTCTACTCTACACACACCCACTCTACTCTACACACACCAACTCTACTCTACACGCACCCACTCTACTCTACACACATATCAACTCTTACTTTCTCTACACACATCACATATTTTGTTTTTCCCCGATGTATATATTATATATAAAAACAATTTCTCCAGATGACTTGAATAGCTCTATTTGGAAAGAATGAATTATTCTAGAATGACTGGGGAGGTTTTGTCATGCAGTAAATCCACTAATATTAGTAGAATGTTAACTAATGTCGTTAACTAGACTTTAATAAATGGAACGTTATTGTAAAGTGTTTCCGATTTGTCTCTTGCGTTCAGTGTTGGATAGATCAGTTCTTTTAACCATTCATTAAAGTGAATCGGTTCAAAAGAGTCATTAGTTCACGAATCGGACGTGTCATTACCGGACCACGGCACGTTGTGTGATTATCCAGGCAGTTTAGGACAAGATTTATGTCAACACAGAAAACATTCTTCACTAGATATAGTGTTTTTTTTTTTTTGTTTGAGCTGGTGTGAATTGCTTTAATTACACAGCAGGAATCTCTTGAAACCGTTCAGGAATGTGTCCTAATTCTGCAGGAGGGAATACGAATGACCCTACTTCATATTCGCTCTCATTCTTGTTAGTAGTATATGTCCATCCACTGTTACCAGTGAGGTCATTTTCTTGTATGCAAGACGGCAACATTTTTTTTTCCTTTTGTTGTGTGTAAATGTTTTTATTATTATTTACATCCAATACAGTGTGCTCTCTAGTGGCCATTATCCTTTTATTCTCTATGGATTTGTGAAGGACAAAAAGAGCTTTTCCTGTAAAATTAGAAAGTTTATTATCAAGGCTATTAACCCTTGTGCGACCTTATGGCAATTTTTGTTTTCAGTTTATTTATTTTTATCTTTTTGCCTGTTATTAATGCATATAAATGCATACATTTTGGCACAGGTGTGTATTTTTATTGGAATTTAATCCAACAATTTTTATATCCCTATAAAATGATGCAATCTTAGTCAATAGGCTTTAATTCTTTTTTTTAAAACTCGATTTATTCCTGATTTATGCGCCTCTATATATTATAGAGCTAATTTGATAAGTTCTGCAGCTGTAATTGTGTGTTGGTGTGGATGTCAGAGTGTGGTTTGTATGTGTGTAATAAAAGCTATTGTGTGTGTGAAATATTTGAGAGAAAAACTGCTAATCACAAATCCAAACACTGAGTTTTGCTGCATCTAGTGGAGAAGATCTGGTACTGCGCCCAAACACACTCTCTCTGTAAGCTCATTTGTGGAACACGACTTATTTTCTAGCAGTTTTAGTTTAACATATTTTCATTATATATATTCGAGAGAGTTTCACATGTAGCTATTTCATATGCAAGCATGTCAGCCAATCACAGCAGAGGCCGGTTACACACAGCAGACACGCCCCTTCAAACACAGCGTTCAAAGCAGAGGCTAAAATCAGGCTAGGAAAAATGCCTTTTGTTTCTAAATAATGACTATTTTTGATCTAAGAAATATACTAACATTTATAAGGGCAACCCAGGAAACAAAATAATTAAAAAAAAAAACATTCTAGGCCACCTTTAAGAAAGCTTCTGTAATACACCCCTACATTTAGCAGGACATCCATATAAATGAAAGTAGTGTGCAGTTGGATACAGAAATGAATGAATGAAAAGAGTTCTCTAGTTGTACAGCGACTGAAGCTCCTGTAGTGTTGAATAAGCCTCTCTCTCTGTGTGTGTGTCCCAGCAGGACTCGGGCTCGTACCCCTCGAGCGCGCACGTGCCGGGCCCGGGGACCAGCATGCCTCCGCAGCCCAACAACACCAGCATCAGCAGTGTGCCGACGAGCCACAATAGTGCGGCCTACATGAAGCAGATGCAGATGCTGAGCCAGCAGCAGAAACAGCAGCTCCTGCAGAGGCAGATCATGGCCGAGGCGCAGGTGCGGCACCGCTTACCCACAATACACCACTATACCCCACTGTACCCCCACTATACCCCCACTATACCCCCACTATACCCCACTATACCCCACTATACCCCACTGTACCCCCACTATACCCCACTATACCCCCATTATACACCACTATACCCCCACTATACCCCACTGTACACCACTATACCCACTGTACCCCCACTATACCCACTATACCCCCATTATACACCACTGTACACCACTATACCCCCACTATACCCCCATTATACACCACTGTACACCACTATACCCCACTATTAGAGTTGAGCCGGATACTCGGCTGAAACGAGTATCCGGTACGGATAAAGCACTTTTGTCGAGTACGAATATTATACGAGTAATACGAGTCAATATCTGTGCTCGGATAAAAAAAAAAAAAAAGTTATGTTGAGATTAAGGCTGAGCGATATATCAATATAAAGAATATATATATTTTTAAATGTGATATGTAATTAAACCATATTGCGTATCGATATAGGCTATTCAGGTTTGAGCTGTGATCCTTGCTCCAAGCAAGCTGCTGAGTGCTGATCCAGAGCTCTCTGCACTGCTCCCCGTGCCCCAGCCACTCCTTTTCCACTTTGCGTGCTTGATTAAAGCATGTTATGTTATGAAATAAAGTCTTTCACCTCAGCAAAAGGGACTTTCTGTCCCGTCACCCGTTATACTGTAACGTTAGTCGTAACGCACACTCAATTGCACGCGCAAATGCGGTGGCGCGCTCTGGATCGCCTCTGTATATAAAGTGCAAAAGAAACTATACGAGCATGCAACACCGCTACGTTGTAAATTACACGAAATAAAAGCAATGCAGTTATGATTTTCATTCTATTCACCAGGAGCAGTTTCAATGTTTCATAAACAGTTCTTGTTGGTATTGTGTATTCACTATTCACCATGGTAACTGTCGTTTCTATATTAACCCCTTAATGCCCCTATTTTTCTTTGTGTTATTTCTTTTTTTTTTTTTTTAATGACTGTAATGGCTCATACCAACGTTGTATTAACAAAATAAATAAACCAATTAATAAATCACAATTACAATTCCAAGGGAATAATCTGCAATGAAGATTTTTGTCATAGCTAATCATGCAGCCCTAAGGTGAAGAAACCTGTTTATTATTTATTCATTTGGTTTGGCAAATGTTCAAGTTTCAATAAAACTACTTGTGACATGTCATATTTGGCTTTGACTGAACATTTGCTCTCACTTTGCAGAAAAAATATCGGGATATATTTTGTATATCGAAATTCAGCCTAAATATATATCGGGATATGACTTTTGGTCCATATCACCCAGCCGTAGTTGAGATGAAAACTCTTGTTCATTACATTTTACTTTATAATTGCAGCCACTTGTGTTGTATTCATTGTTGCAAAACTTGTTTTGTAGTTCGTTTGTTATCGTGATCAAAACCATTGATCTGAAGCTCAATGCTGATGCTGTCATGTAAATAGTTTTATTTCTTATCAGCAAAAAATATAGCAATTTCAGATTAACCCATATCAATTGCATGCTTAAAATAACATACCGTTTAAAGCCCCGCCCATTTCAAGACTACCCAACCCACTTCCGGGTTTAGGCCCCGCCCAGTCCGAGTACAGATACAGATACAGATAATTCATATGGTTAACAGATACAGATACAGATAATGCTGTACTCGCTCATCCCTACCCACTATACCCCACTAAACACCACTATACCCCACTAAACACCACTATACCCCACTATACCCCACTATACCCCCACTATACCCCACTAAACACCACTATACCCCACTATACCCACTATACCCCCACTATACCCCACTAAACACCACTATACCCCACTAAACACCACTATACCCCACTATACACCTATATTACCCCACTATACCCCCACTAAACACCGCTATACCCCACTATACCCCACTATACCCCCACTATACCCCACTAAACACCACTATACCCCACTATACCCCCACTATACCCCACTAAACACCACTATACCCCACTATACCCCACTATACCCCCACTATACCCCACTAAACACCACTATACCCCACTAAACACCACTATACCCCACTATACACCTATATTACCCCACTATACCCCCACTAAACACCGCTATACCCCCCACTATAGCCCCACTATACACCTATATTACCCCACTATACCCCACTATACACCACTATACACCACTATACACCACTATACTTCCACTATAGCTCCACTTACCCACGATACACCACTGTACAGTAGAGTGTAGTGTTGTGTACATTTTTATTTCAAGATTCTTTGATGAATAGAAACTTCAAAAGAACAGCATTTATCTGAAATAAAAGCTTTTGTCACTTTAAACACTACACTAAGTCTGGGTCAGTAAGATGTTTCATTTTATTTAAAAGAAATCAATATTTAATTTTGATTAAAACGATTACAAGTGAAGACATTTATAAAGTGACAAAAGTTTTATTTCAGATAAATGCTGTTCTTTTGAACTTTCTATTCATCAAAGAACCCTGAAATAAAAATGGACCCAACAGTGTTCCACACTGATAATAATCATAAATGTTTCTTGAGCATCAGATTCTCATATTAGAGTGATTTCTGGAGGGTATTGTGACCCTGAAGACTGGAGTAATGATGCTTTGATCACAGGAATACATTACACTTTACTATATATTCACATAGAGAACAGCTGATTTACACTGGAATAATGTTTCATAATATATATTACTGTTTTTTTAATCAAACAACTGCAGCCTTGGTGAGCAGAAGAGCCTTCTTTAAAAAACATTAAATCTTACAGATCCACACTCTTGACTGATAGTGTACATTTATCAATAATAACAATAATTCTCTAATTACGTCTACAGTGTGCCATTCACAGATCTGCCTCTAGAGGGCAGCAGCCTCACAAAAGTACTGAGAAGCTAACGTGTGTGTGTGTGTGTGTGTGTGTCAGGAGAAGCAGCAGCAGCTCCAGAGGCATCTGACCCGTCCACCGCCCCAGTACCAGGACCAGCAGAACCCGTTCCAGCAGCAGTTCAGCACTGTGCCCTGCCTGGCCCAACAGCACCCCTCGGCCTTCCCCGAACACACACTCTCCGGTACACACACACTCGCTGCTCCTTTACACCACCAGTTACACCTCAGATCAGGTGCCATTTAGTTGGACACGCTAGAAATTAGTGATGACCAAATATTTATATCACAGTATTTTTATTTTTTTATTTTTCAAAATGATCTCGGCTTCACTGTATATGATGGTATTTTATTTATTTAAGCATTTTCTACTGAGTGAGAGAGGAAATACTGCAGTAGATCGCCCTAATTTACTGTCATGAGTGAATATTGTTGAATAAATTCACAGTAGTATTAATACAGGTTTGCAAGAGAGATTAAATGAAAATAACATTGAAACTTCTCTAAAGAAGTCAGTTCCCTTCTCTTATAAAAACACTGAAGCGTGCAGAGCTCGTGTTTATTCGGCGAGGCCAAAGAGATTCTCCAAAAGCCAGTGTTGATCTTGTGAACCGAAGTATGTGAAACACACTAATGTCAGTTATAGTGTAACCTCTCCGTGTTCACCGTCAGGCTCAGTAACACACACATCTGAGCTCACCAGTGAACTGTGAAACTAGGGCTGCACGATTTGGGCCAAAATGATAATCATGATTATTTTGATCAATATTGAGATCACGATTAATTATCACGATTATTTGTTGATTTTAACTAAAACAAGTGTTATATTGTCACACAGGCTATATAACTGCTTTCACATCCATATTGTGCTACATTCCTAATAATATATGACTATGTGCGTCAAAATCAAAATAAAACAGGTCCTCTTATTCACCAAAATGCAGTGCATCTCTTTAAAGAATAAAGAAAAATAAAGAAAACAATAAATAAAATGTAGCAAAACTTCATCAAGGCACTATTTTGCATTTTACATTGTGTAAATCTAGTTGAGGAAGCAAAATATAAACTTGCATTGTACCTGCATAATGGATGTTCCAGATGAGAACATGTCAAGGCAGAACTGTGCACTATGGACGTTCAATTAATGGATGAAATTCAGAGTCATTGTTATTTGACACTTAAGAAATGTAAAATGTGTCAGTGATTAATTGTGAAATCTTTAGGGCTATATTCAACCAAAGAAATCCTTAGTCGACCAAAGTCTTGTCCTGCGCAACGATTAGTCGACGTAAAAAAAACCGTGATGTTTTGATTAAACATTTTTTTAAAAATTGTCATTGAGCATTTATAAAACAACGAAAAAACATCACAAATAAATAAAACTATAATAATAATACAATTCTTTGAAAATTAAGTGATTTTTTTAACTGCAAAAAGTGAAGAGCTCTGTTCTCGGTCTATAGTAACAGTCACAATCGCGCACCTGACCACACCACACGCTGCAAAAAATATAACTGCTATCTCTGCCACATAATGAAAAACCCCAACAAAAGCTCTCGTTTATACAGGCTTTATATTCTTCTTTACTTTTAAAGCTATGGGTTAACTTTCATCCTGACGATCAAGGCGTTTTAAACAACACACAAAAAACCCAAATAACTTGAAAACAATCCTAATAGTAGGCTGTAGGACTGCGTATAGGTTTATTTTCGTTTTGTTGCATTATTTAGGCTATTTTCAAATGCGTCAAGTGTACAAATAAAAACGAAAACATTAAGAAAACACAATCTTATTGAGTCAGCATGATAAAGCCGTTAAAAGGCTGCTCACGTCTTTTGCGCGCCCAAGTTCGATTTCAAATGTAGGCGCGCGACTTGCGCGCTCATAATGGAGCAACGCGATCGCCTCCCTCCACAGTCTTGTCGTCTTTGTTTTAAAATGCAGCCAGACAAAAGATTTAGATTTCCTGGACATTTTGTCGACTAAAGCCAAAACAAGCAGCGTTCTAACTGAATGAATACAGCGTCCCTTACCGAGCGCGAGCAGCAGCGCAGCCGGCCACAGGTGCGGTTCCCGAGTGTGTTATGTGTGTGCGCTAAACTGTGGCGCAGTTACAAAAATAGCCTAAATTAAAGCATTTTAAAGTTGGGGACAAAACATAGGCTAATTATATCTAGAATAACTGCTTATAAAGGAATAAATATCAAGGAGTAAATCATTGAAAAATTCTTTCTATTAGTAAAAAAAAAAAAAAAAAAAAATGCAACTGGTCGACCAATAAGACATCGACCGATTAGTCGACTAATCGACTAAAGTTGACAGCCCTACTAATCTTACTGCATACATTTAATCTATTTAATCCTCCATATGAAAGTTTGTGGTTGAATTATTTCTATTTATTAAACAATAGTTCAAAACAAGATGTTTGTATTAGCCTATTGATTATTGGAGTCCATTAATTCAAACTTTCATCCCTCTTATATAGTAATTATATGTTACTGTGTAGTATGTATGTACCAATTTACTAATGCTCACACTCGGTCTCAGACACAACCGGTGTCTCTCGCGTGCTGTCGCTCCGTATCGCTCGGTGTTTCTCAATGTCGAGGCAGGATGCTATGGGCAGGATCCTCAGAAGCCGTAATTTCGAGGATGCTATCCTTCGCGCACTTTTGAGCGTGCTTGGACACTCGTCTCTCTTGTTCACTGTAGCTCGCGCGCAGACACACTCGGTCTCTCACGCGCACTGGAGCTCGTGGCGGCACGTGATCAGACAGTGGTTTACGCAGCGCTAGATAGGCTTTGAAAAAAAAAAACCTTTGATATACGGAGCGTTCTGTGAATGGAAAGACGCATTTTAAATATCGCTCGATCACGCGAATTTGATCGTGGGAAGCCAAAATCGTGATTTTAAAATTCGATTAATCGTGCAGCCCTATGTGAAACACACTCTCAAACAGCGTTGCTTGTTAAAGCCACATACACTGGTATTGCGGATTATTAAAAATGCATATAATTTAAAAAAATAAACAGCGTTGTTGTTCGTGTGACCCAGTATACCGCCCAGCACTACTGTAAATGTGATTTGACCGGCTCTCAGTGTGTGTGAGTGATGAGTGATCGCCCGGTCTGGACCTGAGGCGAGGAGGAAGCTACACCTGTGTGTGTGTGTGTGTGTGGCGTGAGCTTCCGTCTCTGTAGGGCAACACAAGCAGCCTTTTGTTACTCGTCAACAAACAAGCACACCTGATTTGCAAGTGTGTTTATTGATAGACTGATTTGAATGGCAGGAGCACAGTGTGCTCAGTGTGTGGAGAGCCGTTACACACAGCCTTCTTCAGTTGTCTGCGATCTGTTTGGATACAGGCTTTTTCCTGCAAAGAGAAAGAAATATAAATGTGGTGAGAAGGTTTGGAAAGCAGAGAAGCCCACAGGAAGAGACTCTAGTGTAGTGTAGAGGGTTGTTGGTTATGAAATATTGTCTTCTTTTCAAAGCCATGTCATGGATATTATTGTGAACGCCAGTTATATTTTTGACCCTTATAATTAATATTTAATCCGAAGTGAAGTCCAGTGAAGTGTTTCTCCAATCATTTATTCCTCTTAAGCTTAAGCTCACCTTGAGTGCCATGCCCGCATCTCAGCCAGAGCTCGGCCGATTAGGAGAACGAGGTCTGCCCACGATAACCGATAACCCATTCATCATCCGATAGCTTTTACAATGGAGACTGAATGAAAACACGCATAACACACAGTGCTGTACTTCATTACGAAACTTGGAAAACTCCTCAAAACGAACAAATCATTTTTCGTGTCATTCAACGAATGAAATGAATGAGTTGACTCAAAAAGATTCGTTCATTTTGTTGAACAGGAGAGTCACGAACGCGCATCACAGAACAGAGCAAGGCGAGCATTTGAGCTTATAAAACTTAAACTTGTTATTTATTTATTAAATGAGCGATCGTTTCGCTTGATAAGACCCTTATTCATCGTCTGGAGTCGTTTAAAGCCCTTTGAACAGTTTGCACTGAAACTGTCTTTTGGACCTTGAACTTCAAAGGACAACTCCGGCGCAAAATGAACCTTTGGTCTAATCACACATTGCTACCTAGTCAACCGTTATCTGAGATTTGTTTTCATGATTGCCGAATGTAAATAGTTTTATCTCTAAAAACAGTTTAGCCTATAGCGCTAGTATATAGGCCATAGAGTAATGACAAATAAAAATCGCTTGTTATTACCACTAACAAGGCTCAAAATAGCCCCACACTAACACGACAGCATAACAAGGGTCCTTACAATCAAACCGAAGCATTGAGAACTTTGTCAGTGTCCATACAGTTTAATAAGAAGATATTTTATAGACACAGTAAATTTCGCAAATACAGGAAGAAGCCATCTTTGAAAAATAGTCTCTACCAGTCGATCTACGAGCGCCGATCCAAGTGCGCTGGTGAGATGTGAATAAGGTGATAAGGTTATAACTGTTTGTGTTTCTTCCGGAAACAACGGACCATATGAGATTCTGTACAGTTCAGCGCACTTGGATCAATGTTCGTAAGGGTCCCTTTATTATGCTGTCGTGTTACTGTGGGGCTATTTTGAGCCTTGTTAGTGGTAATAACAAGCGATTTTTATTTGTCATTACTCTATGGCCTATATACTAGCATTATACTAGCGTTATAGGCTAAACTGTTTTTAGAGATAAAACTATTTACATTCAGCAATCATGAAAACAAATCTCAGATAACGGTTGACTAGGTAACAATGTGTAAATAGACCAAAGGTTCATTTTGCGCCGGAGTTGTCCTTTAAGATGTACAAATCTATTAGTAAATAATGAAATTAACAAATGAACAATGCTTTTATCACCCTTAGTAATGCTACCCATCTTTAAACATCACACAAACGCCATAGCACTGAAATTAGACCCAGATGTGTGTTGTGTGTACTCACCAGCCGCATTTCCATTACAGATTTGCTCAATTTTGTGATGTTTTCTAAAAGTCGATTAAACAACTATTGTGAAATGACATCATTTCCTGTCTCGAATTGCCTGGAAATCTCCGTAATTATTTTCACGATATGCGAGTTTTTGCGAAACTGACGCGCCTACTCTCATTTCCCAACACCTGATGATGTAATCTAAATATGCCACAGTGATGATGTAATGCACTTCTGATTGGTCTGCATCATGACACATGTTTGCTTTCTCACGTCACTAGCTTTAAATATGCGTAACAAATGCACCAAAGACCAGCTGGAGATAACCAAATGCAGAGAGATGCTAACAAGCGTTACAGTAAACATTAAGGTCGGACTTGCGTGTATATTTTCTGTCACGTTGTTTTAACCGCTTGAGGTGCTAATGTTGGCGTCCTCAAACACACTGCTGTCCTCCGCTAATGCAGCATCTAGGCTACACATGAACTACTTATCATTTCAAAACACGTACTGTACTGTTTCACAGTTAGCTGTGACACTTCGGATGTGGATTACGAAACGGTACTGTACACTACCGTGTGCGTTTTAAAAACTACCACTAACGGCTTGTGGAGTTTGTTTTGACGCTTACACCGTGTCCTAACTACACGCGACGCCGCGACACGTGATAAAAGGTATCTTTTCCATGTTATGTTAATCAGAGTTTTTGTCCTAACCAGACGCGACGGCGACTCGCGAAGTTTCTATTTTAGAAACGGTTTCTATTTCTGCAACGTAGCGGCTGACAGAATGAAGAAATTACACTGGTTATTAGTCAATGAGTAGGCTATATTTTGTTAATGTTTTGATTTTTTTAATAATGTTATTTCTTGATTTGATTATGTCCTTACCCATTTCCAATGCGAGTGCGGGCCAACAGTGCGCTTTCACCCACACGCTGTTCTGCATGGCTGTGATTTTTGAGTGTGGCGTCGCGTCTAGTGTGGACAGACCCGCTTGCTGTCGCTGGAATTGTATCGCGTGTAGTTAGGACACGGTGTTAGATTTAAAGCGCGTACGGTAGTGTACTGTAGCGTTTCACGGTGCGCTTTAAATCCACATCTGAAGTGTCAAAACAAACCCCACGAGCCGTTAGTGGTAGTTTTTATTTCTCTCTCGTAATGTATAATGACAGCGAACCCTTCTCCAGCATCGCACGCATCACACAACGGTATCGGTACGGACTTGTGCCGAATCACGATAAGGAACACGGCAACTTCAGTCGCAACTTTATTCTCGTTGAAAATGTTGAAAATGTCTCTAATCGCGAGTGCGGTCTACTCTGTTTCAGGTCCGTCTCAACCAATAGGAAACGTCAACGCCCCCGGGACGCAGCGGATGTTCTCTCAGACGCAAAGCATGATGGGAATGGGGAGCGCAGTCCCGACGGCCGGGCCTTCTCCGGCCGCCAGTCAGGCAGACATGAGCCTCCAGTCCTGCGCGGGCGGTCTCGACGTGCAGCAAGTGCTCTACGGTAACATGCCCATGCACTCCGGCCAGCAGAGGGCGCAAGTGTCCAACATGTCCAGCGCGTACCGGCAGAGCGTGCTAGCGGCGCAGCAGCACCTCAAGAGCCAGCCCAACGCCGCCATGATGAAGCAGCAGCAGCTAGCACGACTTCCCAACGCCATGGCTAATGCTATGCCCAGCGGTCTCCAGGGTGCCTTGCCCACTCAAGCCCAGTCCTGGCAAACACAGGCTTCCCAGCAGCACCCAGTTCTCCAGCCCGGCTTCCACATGCAGGCCAGATTACCCAAGCTTCCCAACAGCGCCCCGTTCCCTCAGGGGGGCATGGGCGGCAGTGGGGCGGGTCGCATGAACCCTGCACAGATGATGCCCAGTATGAGTCAACAACGGACAAATCTGCCCCAACAGCAGACGCCCCAGCAGGCGCAGGTGCCGAGCCAACCCCAGCAGGTTCTGCCGGATCTGGGGCCCTTCAGCCAGACGCAGGCCGGACCCAACCGCACCACGGCTCTCCAGTGCAACCAGGCCTACCAGCTCAACCGGTCAGCCAATCAGCAGCTCCAGTTCAGCTACAACAGCCAATCAGGAGCCGGCTTATCCGGGTTCCCCGCGGAGACCGATCTGGTGGACTCGCTGCTGAAGAACCAGTCGACCCAAGAGTGGATGGACGACATAGACGAGCTGTTGGCCAGTCACCAGTGAGTGTTCGTGTAAGACAGCGCTCTACTACTGAACCTGTGAGTGTGCGCGATGACCCACAGGCCTGAAACTTGCACTCTTGAAGATGTGCTTTACAGAGTCTAAAGCAATAGTTGACCCGATAACTCGTGAGGCGGTGCGCTGGCGGGCCAGTCCTGCTCCTGGAGGGCCACCTGAGCGATTCATGACCATTCGTTAGTTTTAAAGGGGTGGCTTATCATTTATCATTAATTAAAACGGAAACTTTTTTATGCATTTTTGGCTGGTCAACGGTTGAGAGTTTGAATGAGGAGTGCTGAGCCTCCATTGGCATCCACACACACACACACATGTGGCCCTTCAGGATCAGAAAACTGTGTGTATGATCATAGTTCCACTGGAGAACAGAAGGCATTAGGTCTGCAGTTTCTTTAAAACACATGGATTGAGTGAGTTTAGAAAGTAGATGTTTGATCAAGTGTCGAGTGTAGATGAGATCTGATGAACTCTACACTTCTCCAGTGGACATCTCATCATTACACTTTCTTATGTTACACTACACTTTAATATTATTTTATTTCTTCCTGCAGTTGAGTTCGAGAGACCCGTAGTTGTAGACGTGTGTGTTGGTAAGAGGGGTGACGTTCCTGTTGGTTAGGGTTAACTCTCACTTCATCCCGGATTCTGTGACAGGATTTTTTTGTATATTTATATATATATATATTTTTTTTTTGTATGTATGCAGTTTCTATTGTTCAGGAGAAGATAGATCTTATTTTTATATGTACATTGTTGCAAATTTTTGTAAGTATTTTATACTTTTTATTATGGTTCTCTGTAAAACAAGAGTATTATGTAAATATAGTTCTCTAGAAATGACCTTGTTTGGTGTGTTTATTTAGGCATGTTTTGAATCATTTGTGCTTTTTAAAGGAGCTCCGTCTGTCAGTCATATTAATAATAATATTAATAGTATTTTATTTTGATTATGTTTTCTATGTAATATTTTGTCCTTTTAGGGGAATTTTATGGTGTTACATTGTGCAGTACTATTTATAATCCATTTATTCAATATGAGCATAGACCTGAAAATTACAGTACGGTTCCAGCTTCAACTGGTAAATCTCGACTTCGCAGTGACACAAGTTGTAAAAAGTGAACTTAAACTTACAGAATTTTGTTTATTGTAATGAAAGACATGTACAATTTTAATTTATATATGAAATGTATATACTGACAAAATACTATTAGTGATGCAATGTGGGTAATATCTGTGACCCGCCCAATCTAGTCATGCTGGTATAAGTGAAGGAAGAGCCAGGGCGTGTGGTTTGGACACACACACACACACACACACACACACACACACACCCGTATGATGTCCCTGTCCGCAGGAGTGATGCTGGATCAGGTCGTGTTGGTCGCGGCCGTCACAGTGCTGGGATTGATGGAGCAAGGTAATTATGGGCTGGTCAAATCAATGTTAGTCAGTCTGCTCAGTTTATATAAGTGCTTGAGCAACTTTAACTCTTTCAAGTAGGTATATGTGTAATAATTTGAAGAAGGAACACAATGTTGCTCAATCATGTGATGGTTGGACTTTAAACTGACTAAACTCATCATCATAAACAATCATCTTGTCTTGTAGGCTTAGGATATTATATTAGAGGATTAGCCTTGAAACGAGTGAACAAAGGGAATACTACAGAATAAAACAATTAGAGTTGAACGTCAAAATAAGGCTTGGAAGTTAGTTGGACAAACTTATTTTATCGCGTGTTCTTGTGTACTTAAACGATATGAGGGCGAGTAAACTATCCATTTATATATGACACAAAAGATGGTATTTTAAAGATCGTTTTGGTTGTTGATAACAATACTGAGACGTTTTTATCAAAATATCGAAAAGTTCATTAATTAATGAAATAACATGAACTAACGCAATACATTGATATCGTAGCTTATCTTTCTTAACGTTAGTTAGTTAATGAACAAACAATTAACATGTATTTTTGTATGTTAGTTCACAGTGCATAACGTAAACACGATTTTAATAAGTGATTAGATTATGTTGGGGGGGGGGGGGAAACAAAAATTAATTCTAAGTAGGCTAGTTAATGAAGCTTATTGTACGTGTTATTGTATGATAGAATTATGAACTATCCCTTTAAGAATTGTCAGAAGAAAAAATAATATTATCAGATACACTGAAAAAAGTTTTAATATGTTGTTGCTTCTCAGGTGAATTTCTGACTGCGGGATATTTGAATTAAAGACCAAACACCCGGTTTTAGACCGGGATATTTCGCAATGTGTGTTAGAGATTTGTTTGCCTTTGCAATAAAGCAATAAGCCCATTGAAGCCGTTTCTAGGGGCCTATTGCTTTTATAAAACGGTTACTCCATAAAAATATTCATTTTAATGTTTATTTTATTCATAAAATAAACACCAGCAGCAAAAAATCTATAACGGTATAACACATTTATTCCTCCGCCAAGCAATGTAGTTCCAAGGATGCCAAATGCAGCAACCATAGCGGGCAGCAACAAATCAACGGCAGTTGCGCAGTAATACGAATGTAATGCGGTCACAGGTGTGTGTTTGTTGAGTAATTTTCGATCGAACACGGTTTAACCAATCAGATTCAAGGACCGGAACTACCCGTTTATATTATTACACGGCTGCTTGCCACATAAGTAAATAATTAAACACAAAATATTGATCTGAGTTGAAATATTTGATTAGGTCTTTAAATGCAAAGCTTGTGTGGAGAGAGTTTCAGCGGCGAGTTCAAACTAGACGGATATTTAAAGGGATACTCCACTTTTTTTGGAAATAGGCTCATTTTACCACGCACTTCCGCAGCGTTAAACAATTGGGTTTTACCGTTTTCGATTGTATTCAGCCGATTTTTAGATATTTAGAAGAATATCAGTAACCAGACAGTTTCTGGTCTCATTGACTTCCATAGTATATTTTTTTTTTCTACTATGGAAGTCAATGAGACCAGAAACGATCTGGTTACTGATATTCTTCTAAATATCAGAAAATCGTCTGAATGGATTCGAAAATCGTAAAACTCGACTGTTTAACTCTGGGGGAGTGGTAAAATGAGCCTATTTCCAAAAAAAAAGTGGAGTATCCCTTTAGGAGATACGGTATACAGTCATACACTTATTAAACAGCATTTCAACATATTAATAATTATGGAGATCAGAGATATTGACTTCAGATTAAACTGTTTCAAAATGTTACCTGTCTGTAACAGTGTACAAAACAATAGACACAAAATGGCCGCCACCGCGGCCCAGTCCACGATACTGGGTGGCATAATTAAATAACTGTACACAAAATATTGATTCGATTTTTATTATTGATTTTATCATCTCACCGAATGCAAAACTTCCACGTGGTAAACCCGTTCCTGGCGAGTGTGTAGCGCTGAGGACTGCAGTGACCCGGATGAGCCTGTGTTTCTGTGTTTAGCGGCTGTTATCTAGGAACATCACACCGCTGGATGGAGCGATTGACCAATCAGAGTCAAGCATTCCACCGTCCGTGTGATAACCATAGACGGTAGGTAATAACACGTGTATTCCCTGTTTCCCTCAGCGTACTTCTCCCTGAAGGTGATCTACGCGCGCCGCAAGTACTCAGTCTCTCCACCCGCCACCAGCGGCCCGCCCGAGTTTGAGCGGGTCTTCCGAGCCCAGTGAGTCACACACACACGATATATCACACACACGATTCGAGTGCTGAGAGGCTTTGTCTCATGTCTGTCTTTATCTTGCTTTTCCAGAGCGAACTGTTCAGAGTATTTCCCCATTTTCATCTTCTCACTGTGGCTGGCTGGAGTCTTCTTCAGTCAAGGTGAGTCTCTCTCGACCTTCATCATCATCATCAGGTAGACTACTGCCGACTTCTTCTCAAAGAAGAACAAGTTTCCGACACTGAATAAAAAAAACGTAATTGTGACTTTCTATCTCACAATTCTGACTTTTTTCCAAAAATTGGGGGATATACTGGGGCGGCCAGTGTTGTAGTACTCGAGACTCGTCTCGGACTCGGTCTCGAGACCATATTTTAATGGTCTTGGTCTTGTCATGGACTCGTGTCCATTTGGACTCGGAATTGACTCGTACTCGAACATTTTTTTTTTTAGGACTCGGAATTATTCCCGAGTCCACTCGAGTTCAAGGGTTAGGGTTAGGAGTTCAAAGGGTTCTAACCCTAACCCTTACCCTAACGCTATATACAATAAATGCAGTCCATTTACCATATAAAGTCGCAATTCTGAGTTATAAAGTCATAATTGCGTGATACAAACTCGGAAATTGTTATAAAGTCAGAATTGCAAGGCATAAACTGAAATTTTTATAGCCTAGTTATTACAAGTTATACAGTCAGAATGACTTCTTTAAACTCGTAATTGTGAGTAATAAAGACAATATATCTCACAATTCAGAGAAAAGTCTTAAAGCTACAATACGTAAGATTTTATGCCGCTAGAGGGCGCTACATTCAAAACAACAACAACGGCTTTGCTTGATGACGACGTCGTGGAACGCGGAATGATGGGAACTGTTGTTTTCAACTCCACCGTGGATAAATCAGTCAGACGGGAATCGAAAATTAGTTGTCGTGGATGAGGTAAAGTTCGATTTCTATAACTGTTGCGTTTAATGACATGCTTGTTTTTCATTAAACTGAAATAACCGCAAGAAAAGTAAATTAGTTATCACAGACGTTAGGGGAGAGTCGGGACGGTTGAAACACTTTTCAGATAAACGTCGTTTTCTAAGATACAGCCAACAGTATTCGCGCGTGAATATGACCTTACGATTTTTCACATCGTATGCATAGACAACAAGAATACTAATTGTTTCGCATGGTTTACTGACATGAAATTTGAATACAGAACACGGTGTTACTCACGTCACCCGTCAAGTAAAACACATGCAAGATCGGCGTCTCTTTCTAGTTCGAGTTTTTCACGAAGTTCTCTCCATTTAGGAAATGCCACACCGATGTTGAGCTGGTTTTATTTCTCTTGTCCCAAATTCTTCTTGGGTCGTTTGGTTGACCCGTTGACGTTTGCGTTTATGAATCGCTAAACAAGCTGACGTTGATAGACGCTAACGCACAAATACAACTTCCGCATTTGTCCAGGACTACACGCAGTACGAGCGGAAACCGAGGTAACGCGGATATGACGTGATTGACTGGCGACACACGCCCCGTTTCCTCGGTTAAAATCTAAATTTTCTCGCGATTTAAACGTTTTTTGAAACATTTGGAATATTGTAAGTTATCATCTTAACTAAATATATAACTCTGGCCTTGTGATTTTGGGATATTTTAATGCAAAAAATCTTAGGTATTCCACCTTTAAAATAATGATACAAATTATTTCACATAATTTCTTGGCTCAATTGGGAACATTTTATTTATTTATTTATTAATAATTTCCCCGACCGCCAAATATTTTTGGTATTAGCAATACAACATTTCATGGTATGAATAAGACTGGCTGAAATCCCGCCGTAATGGAGATTATTCATTGGAAATCAGATGTGTTGGCTCATTTTAGCTGTTTGCAGTGAACAAATCAAACTAAAGTCACTGAAGCTCTGAAATGTGAAACCTAAGCTAGTCACGCTGGCATGTTTTCCTGGAATATTATTGCATTTGACAGAAACACACAGGCCTCAAAACGTCTTGATTTATTTACAGTAACAGAGAGCATCTAATGTTCATCTGATGTTCATTTGAGTGAAAAGCCAGGATGTTTGATCAGTTCTGACAGGTTTAGAGGGGTTTAAGGAAGTTGACGGATGGTAAGTCCAGCAAACGGCCCGAGGCTGGTCTAGAAAGAGGA